AGACCGTATAAGTGATAAAGCCGACTTTATTCAAGGAGTTAAGACTACCAGTTAAGACCGTTTTATAGCAATCCGCCCCAGGGTTTAACTCCAGTGACATCAGCCTCATAAAGACTTTGCTGATAAAAGCATCACATTGTTTCATTTATTTAAAAGGCCCTGAATATCAACCAACATTCTAGGATACGCTGGAAGGGTCACCCTTTATAAATATGTTTTTATTTCATTTATTTTGTCATTAGAAGAACATACAATAAGGACACAAGAAAATACAGACAAATAGACAGTAAAAATAGCAATCGTTAAAAACCCGACGGGATAACCAAAAAGCGAAACAAGTCACTATTGAATGGTTCTCCAAGGTTAAAAACAATACATGAAAACACTTTAAATATTCGTAAGATAAAATAAAAAATGGTTGAATAAAGTGGAAATTGAAATGGATTAATTGACTGATTATATCAAACAATTCGATATATAAATAATTATAAATAATATAGAGGCTCTCCCTACAAATTCAATTGTAGTGAGCATTAGATTAATAATACATATGTGTATGTGTATTCAGTGTTCATCAATGTCATTTGTAACCATAACATCCATTTCACAAGTGTCGGCCATGCAATAGAGCCATCACAATAACAATATCAATGACAATATCAGGTAGCAACACCTCGCTGACTATCTTCTTGTTTCTTCTTCATCAAGGTGGATGTACATTATTGCCGTAGGGATGTATCTTTATATGAGGTACAGTGTAGTTCTATGATCTACGATAATCTATAATAAAACATTCTTTTTATTATTCAAATTAGATTGCATTTCTAAATATGTTACTCTCAAGGTCAAAGATCAAACTCTCCAAAGCAATACCAAGGTAGGAGCATACAATGTGTTTCTATGGTTATATCCACTAAATCTCTTGACATTGTATTTAATTGTGCTTTCTAAGAAATTAGTAACGGCCGTGTAATTGTTCTTCAGCCATTCGACGTTGGTGTGTTTTTAGCGCTGTAATGTACTACATTAAAAGATCGCCGGAAAGTGCTATAGTATATTGATCCTTAATATACTGCCTATGATGAAACAAAAGAAGCATAAAATATAGTATTAAATATTTAAATGAACAATTTTATTATATTTTAGAAGTGAATGATAAATGTTACAGATATCTGTTCATAATTTGCTTCTCTTGTTGTGACGAAAAAAACAAGAGTACTGTGATGAAACAAAAAAAACATGAAATATAGTATTATGTATTTATATGAATAATTTTGTAATTAAGTAATATAATTATACTTTCAATTGAATGATAAATCTTAGTGATATCTGTGCATAATTTGTTTCTCTTGTTGTGCCGACAAAAAACGAGTATTGTGATGAAACAAAAAAAAAAAATATAGTATTAATTATTTATATGAAAAATTTTGTAATTGTAATTACAGAAAGAAACATGAAGTTTAGTAATTAAGTAATTTAATTATAATTTCAATTAAATGATAAATGTTACAGATATCTGTTCATAATCTGTTTCCTCTTGTTATAAATGAAAAGTATAAAACAAGCTCCTATATTTCTTATATTATTGTTTATCTTCAGGAACTCTTCTTCATTCCATTTTTAATATTCATGTAATTTATATGAGTTACATGACAAAATTAGTTTATTATTTGTTTTCTCCAGTTCAATTAAGTGGTGTACACAGTACATGGATCACGATCCCCTCATATCCGGAGCTCAGCCTAGTAATCCATGGATTACTGATGACGAAACAATGTGGAGATTAAACAATGTCTTGTGAGTAATCATTTTCTTGGATCGCATTATTTTTAATCTTACATTTAATCCCATTGATAATTTTGTTTTAATTTGTACTGGTATCTGAATTGTTTTGCTTCAAAGTTGATTTCAATCCGGATACTCATTTGAGTTTAACAGTGATAGAGTACTGTATTAGGTATTATTTTGTTTGTTGCTGATATTTTGTAATTCAGTCATTTTTATGATAAAAGACTTTGTAAGTACAGTTTTCAAGGATAGAGGATAAGTACACAGGTAGATTTTATGCTCAGAATTTACATTAAAAAAATAATAATAATAATAGTAATTTCATATGTACATCATCGCATGCAACTCTCTATAAACAATTATATATCGATACATCACATATACTTATTGATATTTTTATTTTCTTCTTTCCCAGTTCAACAATCATAACATCGATTGATGTAATTGTTCTGTCGGTTGCTATCATTTTTTTTTTACAATCTCTCTATACATGTATACATATGCAAAGTACGCATTGATTTTTGACGTACATATTGTTCTTTATATTCTTGATGCAGATTGTGAGCAGTTAATGTCTTTAGTGGCTGAATAAAATAAAAGTATTTATTATTATTATCATTTATTTAATTTGTAGAGTTGATATCCCTACGGAGCGCCGTGTGCTGCGTTGGTCAATCAGTCTATGCGACCTCCTTCAGGACACCACAGGTCGACACCATTTTGAACTTTTCTTGAAGAAGGAATTTAGTCAAGAGAATATTAGGTTTTGGAATGCTTACGAAGAACTTAAGTATGCTCAACAATCCATGGTTGCTGAAAAAGTCAAGGAAATTTATGAGTACGCTTTTGAATTGCTTTTTGTAATGTAGTGAGTCCTGGTATTATGGTGCAGTTGGTTGAAATCATGCGCTTACAGACTAAAAAGCTATGGTGATGACAGAAATTTTTATTATAATTCAGTCATTGGCGTATCTATGAGAGGGCGAGGGGGGCGCACGCCCCCAAAAAATTACTTGCTTCCCCCCCCCCAGTCGCCCCCAAAAAAATGTCGCGTCAAGTAGTTAAAAATCACCTAAAATCACCATATTTTGCGAATTAGCATCCCTCAACTGATCCTAATGTTTCGGGTGTGGGGGGGCGATGTCCCCGACAAGAATGTAAGTAGGCCTGGTTGGTTGTTCCTCAAAATCTCTCAGTAGTGGTCCAGGCCACGAAACTACTGGAAATTATGACAATTTTAAGGGGTTTTCAAAAGCTTATTTGATCGATTATATAGTCTAATAAAATGTTAAAAATACATACAATTTTGTTCCCCCCGACGTGTTGTGTTTCTTCTCCTTGACGACAGGGGACAGTTCTCTCCGATATAGGTCCAACTTGCTCTCTCTGTGACATGATAGCGCACTGTTTTTTGGAAGAGATTTTTGTAAAACATGGCTCATGCGCACATTATAGAATGTAACATAGCGGGGACTTTGCCCTGTGTCCCCAGTGTACCATTTATTAATATTGCCATCAGATGGATCAAGTTACTTATTATTGACCACTTTTTCAGAGAATTTCTGGCGCCTGGTGCACCGTGTGAAATCAACGTGGACCGGCAGACGGTACAGATGACAAACCAGTCTTTAAAGAAACCAAACAGATTCGCATTTGAAGCAGCACAGAAACATATATTCATACTTATGAAAAAAGACAGCTACCCACGCTTTCTCAGATCTGAAGCCTACAAAAACTTACTTGCTATGTCGTCTATGTGCAGTGGCAAGAAAAAGTAAAATAAGTTATATTTTCTTGGAATATTTAAACTGATAAAATAATTGATCTAACATATTTTGATTTTAGATCGTCTTATTATCTCGCCCATAGAAGCTTTCAAAGTTTGCAGATATTTATGACCCTAAGGGCAGGGCCTAAAAGGACCTGCTTGGTCTAGTCTAGGTATGGTGACAATGGTGATACAAGTATTTCTTGCATACCTTGTGATGGTAGAATCGGCGTTACCAAGTGCCACGTGCTGCACCGAGGACACTTCTACCATGCAATATGCTGATTTTTAGACTTTTACTTTAAAAATTCTTAAATTCTCTGAAAATTTTATTTCATTTATTTCGTCCAACTTTTACATTATACAACAAAAACAAAAAAACAAAACACCCTTGACAGACACAGGATTAAACAAAAGCAAACCTAATTGCTGTACAAATTTTTTTTCCACCACCCAATCTCACTGAAGTTTAAAAATTAAGATTGAATAAACTTTTGTAAGATATCTGAGAAAAGAAGACAAACTAACCAAAAGGAGATCTTGCACATCAATAGGCAATATGTCCCAGACTCTCAGAAACTGGTTGAAAATGTGATATTTAAAGCAATCAATACGACTGTACTGATGCACAAATTTAACATGTTCCAGATAATGATGGTTAATGATATTGGAAAAAGGAAAGACAGAAATGGAATACTGATTATATAAACATTTTCCAGCAAAGGAAATACTAATGAAAACAAGTCTATCTTTTAGAGAACATAAATTAAGAAGAGCCAATCTCTGTGGGTATAGTATATCCCTATTCATACAGCATCTGGTCATTCTGCGCTGTACTCTGTTAATTCTGCACTGTACAAGGCACAAAAAGGAACAAACATTGGCAAATAACAAGAACTAAATTAAATTATACATAAATAATTTTTGTTTAATTATTTATAATAGTTATTATTAATTATAGTTATTCTTATAATTATTATTACAATATTAAAGTATAATACATACTCTGAGTATTGAAATGCATGCCATCGTGTTAGGATTCAATATTTCGACATTAATTATATCATCATCAGGAATTACAATATCATCATCCTATAGACTGAATGAATACTACTGTTTTCCAGATTATTTGGTCGATTCCGACCTAAAATTACTCCTGTGGGAACCAAGCGGCGTGGAAGTAGTGGTAGTACTGAAAGCGAGAGTGAACAAAACGGTGAAATGCTTATACATTCTTTCAGCACGGGAAACCTAGCTGACGGGAACCATCAAGCCATGTATGGTCAGCATAGGAAAGAAGACCGTGGAAACCTGCCCGATATTAGTAGGAAACCAAGGTAGGTTTTTTAACTTGTCATGGATTGAGTACTGATATTGTTCCAGTTTTTGAGTTTTGTTTTTTTTTCCCCGTCTTTTCGTCCCGTCCCATCTCGTCTTTATTCTGAACTCATTTGTTTTGTTTGGCTGGCCATCACAATATTTTATTTCAAATCTTCCCGGGAAATTGCCTTCTTTCTTTGCTTTTTCTTTTTTGTTTCCCCTTTTGAAAAAAAATACATTTTTCTCAAATATTTTCCATATTTTTTATACATTAATTCAAATGAAGTAAATAAATGTTTCAAATGATTGGAACTATTTGCCCTATGACATACCCAGTAGCTGAGTGTAGGGGGAGGCAATCTGGCTTGGACCACTAAAAGATGAAAAATAGATACTTAAAAAAGAGAAATAAAAAAATATCGTTTTGGAAGAATAATTTAAAATTTTTGTAAACAATGGCTCTAGATTACCTTATAGCCTATTCAGACCAGCATGGAATTGCGATCGGCTGTTGTAGTTGCGACACCCAATTGCACCCAATCGCACTTCACAATCGTGTGTGAAAGCTCATAGAAGGAGTTAAGTAATCGATACTGTAATTGTTACCCGTTGTGATTAGGTGCTACACTCTTTATTACTTCTGATTACCACGGAATCCGATCAGAACCGTTTGCAACAAATTTCACAGGCACTGATTGGCTGAGGTCCGTCAACAGCCACCGGAGGCCTAGTACCCTTTGATCTCCCATCCGAATATAAAGTTTTTTTGTCTGATTTGGTCAGAATGCGCTTGTTCGTTGCAGTCGGGAGTAATCAGTTTTGGATTAACCACTGACTACATCGCAACCACTCGCAACGGAGTGTAGTCTGAATAAGGTATTAGAGGCTTGAGATACTATACTAAATACTAGAAATAGATTGATAAATTTTTTTAATGACTGCTCTAAATCATTAAATAACTAAACATATAAATACCTAATAATCTGTCGGTTTGGGGAATTCTCAGACCTCCTCCTACACCCTGCCACTCGACGTCTCTAGGCCCCTTGGCAGCTCGCTCCCCAGACCCTTAGGAGAGGAGCACAGGCTAGTAACCTGAAATAAATATATAAAAAGAGTGATCTGTGTTGGATGTATACTGTACTCTGTAATTGTTTAAAATAGACATCTAAAAAAGACTGTAAATTTTAGAGGGTACCCAGACCCCTCCTATAATTGGCGAGTATAATTGCGGTTAGATGTGCTAGAAATTTAAATTTTTTTAAATGAGTAGATTTGATAGAAAGATGCTGGTTTTTACAGTTGGTTTCATCGTATGAGCGCCAGTCCTACACCCAAAAATTCCAAATCGATCAGCAGAAAATCAAGGTAACACACACAGATCCTTAAGTAACCTAATATTTTTTTCTGTTTCCTAACACAATCATGCTTATCATTAATATAAATTTGAATCTACCAATTTATTTGGAATTTATGATAAAATTTGTTTTACATTGAATAAAATTTCACTGTGCATGCATTTATTATAACAATATTTCATTTTTACTGTTTTTCAATAACATTCTTATGCAAACATAGCAGTACGTTTAATTTGTTACTTGGTTTTAAAATTAAGATCAACATTCTTAAGTAGAAAAGTAATTCTAAAACACATATTTACAATTATCTGTTTTTCTTTAAAGCCGTCGCTGAAAGGATCCAATTTGTGTCCATTGTCCTGGCTTTTTTCTATAGTCCTACACGTATATGGCCTCTTTTCTGTCTAATAAATACACTTTCACGTTTTTATATGCCATGTTTAGTCTTAACCCAAATCAATATTCAAGGAACAAGCATTTTCAACTTTTGCATTCTTTTCCCCTCTTGGTTAAATTACACACACCATATTTTCCACATCTATACCTGTTTATAATATAATTATACACTTATTCCTAATATTTTTCCAGCACTTTGCAGTTTTAGGCACATTGTACATTCCTTTATTAATTTTATTAGTAGGAGTAGTAGTAGTAGTATTGTAGAGAAAATTAATGTCAACTTCAGCTTTTTTTTATTATTATTATTATTGTTACTATTATTATTATTACTACTGTATTATTAATATTAATATTATCATTATTATTATTATTGTTATTATTATTATATTTAAACAATTATTTTATGAACTTATTGTTTTATTATTTTTTTAGAAATAACTAAATATTGTAAACAACCATCAACCATAACCATATTTTTTCCTCCCCACGAATTGTAGAACTCAAGGGGAGGCTGTGACGCAGTGCTAATGGATAATAACTAATAGTAGTAGTGCTTTTTCAATTACAAACCTTTCAAGACGCTTTTTAATTAAAAGCAGTTCAAGGCACTGCAAGCAAATAAAGGAAATCAAGTACTAAAGAGACCTGAGGGTCAAATTCAAAAATCAACTGTCAATTACTGCCGCTACTACTAACAACTTTCTTTAATTGAATTACTTTGTTCATGTAAAAAAATACATAAATATACATAGATAAAAAAAATCAAAATACATAAAAAATAAATAAAAATATAATAAATAAAAAAATAATTAAAAATCAATAAAAATATAAAATAAAAAATATAAAATTAAAAAAAATAATAAAAATACATGAAGATAAAAAGATCTATATGAAAGACACACTTCACATTTCAACTGTCAATTACTGCTGTTACTACTAACAAATTTCTTTAAATTTATGTAAAAAAATACATAAAGATACGTAAATAAAAAAATAAAATACATAAAAAATTAATATAAAAAATAAATATTATAAGTATAAAAAATAATAAATAATAAATGAATAAAAAAAAAATTAAATATTTAAAGATTAAAAGATCCATAAAGACACATATCATATTGCAACTATCAATTACTGCCATTACTACTAACAACTTTCTTTAATCGAATCACTTGATTAATATAAGAAAATACATAAATAAAAAAAACAAATACATAAAAAATGAATATTAAAAAAATAAATTAAAAAAATTATTGAAAATGAATAAAAAAGTATAATAAATAAATTTAAAATATAAATAAAAAATAAATATAAAAAACATAAAATAAAAAAAGTAATAAATAAATAAATAGATAATAATAAAATAAAAATATAAAAATACATAAAGATGAAAAGATCCATAAAGACACATTTCACACATTACTAATACTGCTGCTATTGCTACTTCTGTACTTACTAACTTACTGTACTACCATAAATAACCTCATATTGGGCATCTACGTAGCGCTTATGTGTGTGGGGTGCTCATAAGGCGAAACTTTTTTTTAATTTCTCTACCTAGATGGTTTTGGCAAAATCATTTTGCTAAATGAGAAAACAAGATATTTTTTTTCTGCCCTTCTTTGACAATATTTAAAAAAAAATGAGTTTGTGAAACGGTATAAAAAAAGTCTCGCCTAAGATCATTAAGGTCCATACATTGGAAATTAAATAAAGTTATTAATCATGATTTATGGTAATATTTTTTCATTTATGATGACGTTTTAATAAATAGAAGAAAATGGATTATTAGTGTAGCTTTATATGGGTATTTTTGATGATTATATTTTATGATATTGACAACAGCAACATAGATATTCTAGTTAGTGATTTTTTATTTAATTGTAATTACACTGCCACTTTCTTACCAACTGATATATATATATATATATTATTGTACAAATGAAGTAACATATTAATACATTATGAAAGAAATGACAGCAGCACTTTTAAGACTAACTTGTATAAAATTTAATCTCTAACTTTTGTCCAGACAGTGTCTAGCTGAAGTCCACTGTGTGGACAAAAGCTAGATATTAAATTTTATACAAGTTATTTTATCATTTTAATACATGTTTAAACATTTTAAAATAAGATCAAATCTATTGTTTCATTATTCTGTTTAAACTGTTTGTTTTTTTTTTCCCCCCGTAGGGTTCAGTCATTGCAGCCGATCAAATTAAACAAAGAAAGCCACAAACCAAAATATCCTCTAAACGTGCCTGATGGAAGTGTTGCGAATGACGATCACTTAAAACCCTCGGAGAAGGAAACCATGCCAAAGCAAAATTTGATTGCCCCCTGGGAAGATGAAGACTAGTAACTCTGTTATATCTATTATTTGCTATACCTCATAAATATTCGTAAGGTAATAAAAAACATTACATTGGTCAATTCCAGCCGGGTAAAATGTGCGGTAGTATCAACTACTTCCCAGTAGTATCAACTACCACACTCCATGTATAAGTAAACTGTACATAAACTGCATAATTTTGTCCCTACAAATCAAAATGACTAATGTAGACAGACAGGTTGCTGTTTAATATTTATAAGGTGTAGTAAAACAAATTCAATATGGATTTATTTCTGTAAAGCGGTGAATTCTACTTCCCTCGTTGTTGCATGATTAGACTACCTCAGTGGCGTATATAGAAGTCTTGAAATGGAGGTGGTGATGTGGGGCGCGATGGTGAAGTGGGTGGGGGGATCAATTATCAGTTGAGGGGTACTAATTCGGAAAATAAGGTGATTTTTTAACACTTTGCCGTGATTTTTTTTTGGTGGGTGGGGGGAAACTTGGGGAGTGCAAGTAATTTTTTGAGAGGTGTGTGCCCCTCTGCACATCCCCCTAGATACGCCGCTGGACTACCTCCTAACAGGAAGAGTAGAATTCGCTCCTTCACCTCAAACCATGTTGGATTTGTATATCTATTATATTTTTTTTTCCAAAGTACTGTGTATATTAATTATTTTAACATTTACAAGTGGGCTGTTTTTATATACATGGGTCATAGAACTCCATGTGATTGTGGGTCATTAATGGGAAATGTGCATTGATTCGGTTGTAATTAAATGTTGTTAGGCCTAGAGCTAGCAATTGTTGAGAGCATTTTTTACCCAGTATCTTTTGAAGCATTAGCAAATCATTCTGACAATATTGCAAAATTAGCATACATTTTGTTTACTACTTTAATTATCATGTACACATTTTTAGGTCATAGGTTAATACTCCAAAATGCAGTTGAACCTCACATAGATGAACACGTTTCGTAGACGACCACCTCCCATTTTGGGGGCTCAGTAATAATACAAGGAGTTTTTATCATGGAGAATAGCACATGTATGATTTTGCCAAACAAATTTAGAGTAATTGGCACTTCCTCAATACTAATAATGGGGTAGCTGCCCAGAACCACTGAACATATTCTAAAAAGAAAGTGCACTTTGTTAACTGCCAACTACAGTATGGCCCCATATTATAAAATGTGCTATAAGAACAAACATTGTTTACCATACTTTGTGTCAAAAAAAAAAAAAAATACTTTTTCAATTCCAATTATTCAATTTTGTATTCAATATTAGCTCTATCTGTACTTGCTGCTATTTGCAGAAGCAATACCATGCAATTCTGTATGTGTAAATATATAGCCTAATGTACACTTTTTTTTTTAAATTTTATTTATAATATTTGTAATCAAAGTGATATACATGTATCACAACATCTGTGGACTTTTACCCCACTCATTGGACCAAAACACCTATGGAACACATATACAGTACTCAGATTTCATTATGTTGAAGCTAATAATCAGATTTAGATTATCATTATTAATGTAATAACTAATAATATTCCTATGAGATGCAGTCTCCTGTTGATTAAGTAGTGACAAAGGAGTTTCCTGCGAATGTTTACTGAATGACGTACACAATTTATAGTATAAAAATATTTATAGTATGTAATGCTTGTGTGTAGAATTTTACACACTTGCACTCTTTCAGTGCACTAATCTGTACTAGTGCACAAGGTGTCCAAAACAAGAACAATTGCAGACCATATTTAGAATCAAAGATTCTATGGAGAACGCAAGGTGACGACGCACGCGCAACGGATCATTTGTAATTATGATCCGTTTAGAATGCCACCGAAAGTCAACAGACAGCATCGTGTCCTCTACCGCTCGCAGGGAGCGGAGTCCAATTTGCCGTACGATACGGTGGGTGCTCAGCTTAAGACCACGCAATATACGTGTAACCAAGCACCAAATATTTAATTACACCAAAAGGAAGTACTGTACATTATTGAAAAAAACTAGCGGGTGCCCACTTACCTCTAGGTGGGGATCAATATGGAGTGCCTTGCCCAAGTAGCTATAGCCTACTGATCTCTAAATCAAATTCTTGCTTATGTTATTGGTAGTTCTAAGCATATCATGGTCTGTTCTTATGCTATTTTGGTTGCAACTTAGCGGTAAAGATACAATGACGATGTGTAAGTGTTTTAGCTGTTTCCAGCAGATGGAAAAGGGTTAGAATATGCTATTAACCTGCCCACAGTAATGTGGACATTAATAGCTATGAATGTCCACAGTAATGTGGACATTAATAGCTATCATTATCATGTCCATGATATGTGGGTGTTCTTGAGTTTTTAATATGATTTATATCTTGTACTGTATTATCAATTGTCAGTGCCAATGACAATTACCATGCACAGCAAAATCAAATTAAATGTGTTGAGAAAGCTCATTTAAATAGTCCTCCCGGAAGTGACTTCTTCAAATTTGGGAAATCCGAGTCGTAAAACATAAACTTGTGCGTTTATGGGTTGTGGGGCATGCGCATATTCCGTGCCTTGCCTAGAGAATAACACATTTTAAATTGTGATCATTTACAAGTTGTATATAAAGAGAAGAACACCCTTTATGAGACACTGATAAACTAAAAATAGAGATATTTGTTTGCCCAGCAACAGTGCCTTAATCCCAAATAAAATTTATAAAAATGCATAAAGGGAAAGTTCTATGTGTGTCCAGTCTTAAAATACAATTTGAGTCATTATTATTTAATATGAAGATGAACCTGATTCTATAAGCTATAATGGCCCATCTATATTCCTTTATATTCTATTCTATTATATATATAGCATTTTATGCATTTGACAAAAATCCATTTCCATACTGGCCAGATTCTATAAGCTATAATGGCCTATCTATATTCCTTTATATTCTATTATATTATATATAAAAGTTTTTATACATTTGACAAAAATCCATTTCCATACTTGCCCCAGCTTGTAGTGTCAGAGAAGACCAGTTCAGGTTTGCTTTGAGTCTATGGTAGATATTTGAAGAATATATACAAGTTTAAAAACCTCAATTTTTGTTGTCTAATAATAATAATTGTAGTATACCTTACTGACACATATGCTGGGCAGTTTTTCCATTAGAGTATGGATTATTATCCATACATTACATAGTTTCTGAATATTTAACATTTTTTTTACAAATTAATCGATGACTATCATAATACAAGAAGTAAATTGAAAACACTTTAGTCTTACCACAATGGCAATATGATTTTGGAAAAGAACTTTTATATATCGCTCTGTTAAATTATGGAACAATCTATCATCAGATATTCATAGCAATATTAATTCTCTTTCCTTACAATCCTTTAAAAATCTCATTTAATTTACCCATTTGTTTTTCTTTTCTGTTTCTTGTATTTATAATATTTATATAAAATTTTCTTTTAATTTCATTTTGTAATTTAATGTAATTTAAGTTTATACCTTGGACCTAAGGGAAGAACAGTGTGACAATACTGACTGAGTATCCAGAATAAAGAAAGATTTCATCTAATTAGAATTATTAGTATATATTTTGAATTTTTGACTAATACTGTGGAGGGTATGTCCACTATGTGTGCCATAAATTATCTAGTCAATGGACTTGTCATAAAACATCTTATCTGGACTGCCATACAGTTTACATTTTCTAATCAACAGAGTATAGTGGTTATTAACTACAAAGTAAACCAGCTTTGACTGCATGGCTTTGCTTTGTGATGGTCATACTAAGAGTTAATTTGTGGCTGCCATTTTTGTGTGCAATAACCATTGAACAATTGTTTAAAAAGATGTGTGCAGTTGAGATCTACCTATGTGCTATTTATTCCAAGAGTTTCACGGTGGCGTATCTAGGAGGAGTAACATGGGAGAGTCATACGAAAAAGGGGCCACTAGCAGGAAATAAGGTCATTTTCGCAACAACATGAATGTAATTTTTTTTTCTTGACAAGTTCTCAGTGGTAGAACGCAAGATGTTTCTTTAGGGTTTGTATTTGGCCGTGCCACCTTAAGTCCTGTCCAGACTATCAAATTTTATTTGACAAAAACATGTGACATGCCTAAATATGGTCATGATGACATCACATCATGAACATATATAGGCACATCATGACTATATATGGGCATACAACAGTTTTTTGTCAAAGAAAATTTGATAGTCTGGATAGAGCTTTAGGCAAAACTATTTTTATACCTTGTTTTGTAAAGTTTGATTTTTTGGCCAATTGGTGCAACCGCCTCCACGAAAAAATGGAAATTTTAGAAAAAAAAAAGTTTATTTTTATTACACTCGCTGCTTCCTTGAAATCTCCAAAACCATTTAACCATCCCATTACTACACTGTTTTCATTCACCCATAAAATTATATTTTTATTTTCTCCTGGATGTTTTTGGCAAAACTATTTCCTAAATAAACCAAAAATTTATATTTTCCGCCCTCAGATGATCTTTAAAAAAAATAAGTCGGCGAAACAAGGTATAAAAGTCGTCTTGCCTTAGATATGCCACTGGAGGTACCCACTTACTATGTGGACAATGTATAAGAGTATTCTCTCCATGATTTAAGTAGTGTTTGACATTGTAAATGGTAAGGTAAATACTTTAGGTGTATAGTTTTAGTCACTCAGGGAAGTGATACAGATTCTTTTATATTAAAATTGAGTGACATTTTTCAACTGATTGTATGCATTTATACAGGCAGTTTTGAATAGTATAGAGGTAGTGCGAGATCTGGGAGACGAGAAATAAAAAATCAATGAATTGAAAAATATTATTAAGTTGTCTTTATTCTTTCAGTTTTATTTTTATATTACATTATTTAATAAACTACAGTATTAATCTTACACATCACTCGACCTCCCAATTTCACTCTCCCCTCCTCATCTTGCTAGTTCCATCTTATCCAAGATTCTAGTACCAAATTATCCTTTATTTCAGTGCTAGGTTGGCTCGTCACATACTAAGAATGCCCAGTGAGAGGATTCCAAAAACTGCGCTAAGATGGACCCCTGTAGGGAAAAGGTAAAGAGGAAGGCCGCAGACCACCTGACGGAGGACGGTATTGGGAGAGGTGGAGGATGTGCTCTAGCAAACGACCAAAATGAGTAGACGAGTCTTTGCAGCCACATGTCCCACAATATGGACAAGTAAGCACTGTTAAATCACTTCAGTTCCCAGTTCACAAATGTTGTCATCAGTGGCATGAGAGCTTCATAAGTTTAATGCAGACTTCTTTATCATAATGGAAGATGGATCTGGACGGACCTTCCAATTCATTCCAGGAAATTGATTTTTCGTCTAAAACGAACAAAAAATAAATACTGTATCAACTACAACATATCAAGAGAAATAACATCTTTGACAGCAAACAAAAAGCCTGTACAATACAATGACTGATGAAAAGTAATTAAAGATGTACTATCAGTCAAAAAGACAGCAAAATACCTCAAAACTTCATACGATTTTGAATAGCCCATTTGAAAAGTTCAAATAAGTTATTAGCTTAACGAGAAACAGATAAAAAAAGTAGTTTTCACCACAGAAAACCTTAAATTGATTACCAGAAGGATGTATGCAAAATAATACAAGAAAGTTATTTAACTGACCGAAAATTGAGGGGGATTCTTTTTTAATTCAAGTTTTTAATTTTAAGTTAATAACTTACTTAAATATACAAATAAAGCAATTCAAATGTGGCATCAAAATGTTCATGATTGATAGTACATCTTGAATTATCGAAGGTTAACTCACCAAGAACTTCAATAAATCTGTTAAATGTAGCTTCATTTCTGACAGTTGACGAGATGAAAGCAACAGGAGATGAAACCGACGATGATGATGACAACAGACATGAAAGAACTTGTCCAAGAGGCCCAAGTAATCGATCATCATACACCACATCTAAGCAAAATGCCCAAGCAAATGGAAAAGTTGGTCAGTTGATGATGTTTTCATTGTATTTATAATAAGCCCAAGTCTAATTTTAGGATGCACAACCCGATCAGCAATGGGTTTACAAATTTTGGGCCATTTTAAGCAGTTCAGACTTCAAAATTGTTTTTCCCATTTTTGGTTTTACGAGTTATGATTGATGGATGGATTTATTCGGTGTAAACACCAAGGATGATTGGGCAGTGCACCGGGAGACAATCCCCTACTCTTTTCCGAATAGTGTACTGCATACGGGCCATAATGCACACGGGACCAATGGCTTAAACAATCAATTTTATTGAAAGCATTTTTTCTTTTTAGACACTTACCAGCAGCCAAGATTACTTCCGACTTTAAACCTGTAATTTCTTGTTTCGTAAAATTCTCCCAATCCAGCTTCTTAAAATAAGTTGAGAATCCTCTGCAGCCACCACTGTCTTGCTCTATATCAGACAAATGGTTGCCAGAATATTCAATTGGATTTTGACCACTTGAACATATCTTAAAACATTTGTCACTATCTTTGTCCATGTCACTATTATTTTTACTTGAGTGGTCTATCTTAATGCAGTGGCAACATGCTTTTTCTTCTGTTTCTACTTTTAACGATTTAAGGTTCATAGCAACATTCTTTTCAATTGCATGTAAAACATAATCATTGCAGTCTGTGAATGTGTATTTTGCTGGGCAACACCATTTGCAGATGACAAGACCAGTAAATCCAAGTCCACTTCCCAACTCCAAAATGTGTCTAAATTTAAAAAAAAACAATTAATGATAATTATTTACCATGTAGCACTAAAAAAAAAATATATGGGGTTATATTTTATTCAAAGCAGGTATAATGACTGTCTGTCCAGGCATCTTCAGCAGAGAAGGTACCACATATACTCGTGTATAAGGTCGTTTGCGTATAAGACACTGCAAGTTTGAGGAGATTTTTGGACGATTTTTGTATGTAGACCCTCAAGTTTCACTATCAGAACTGAACTTCAGACAAAGTTTACCTATTTTTAAGATGTGCTTTATTCTCCACTGCCCACTCTGCAAGATATTTGGCAGCTTGCCAAGTACACAGTCCAGTTGTACCATGGGAAATCATCTGAGTGGACTCCTCCAATGTAATATGCATGTTCGGAGACTGTTCAATGAAACATAACATACATTATTGAACTGAATTTATTGGATTATTTAACAATAATAAATTTATTAAATCTGAGCATACATATAAACTAGAGTATGCAAACCCGAGTTCTTTATATAAGCAGTTATTTACAAGGTGGTTCATAAGCGGTCCATAAATGGTCAAATGTGACCAAATCATTGGTGTACCTATTGACAACGGTTGAAAATACAAGCTACAATAAAACTGTCTTTTGAAAGAGACGTTTAAGCTGTTGGTCCTGTGTTTAATATAGCAAGTTTTTTTTTGTTTTTTTTTAAAGAACACAGTGTATTGAGCTGGGATTGTCTTTCAGCTTTCCATCAAATTCTTTACCAGGAGCACCCCACTTAAAATAAGTCATCAGAATTTTATAGGTTATCATCATGTGTTTAAAACCAAAGAAACTCAATTCTATCCAATATACCACCTTGAGTCGTGGATAGTGCCATGCACAAGGATTGCAAATGGGCAGAGCAGCAACCAATTTCCAACATAATAAACCGTCAACATTAAAGACAGAAATCACAACTTCTCCAACTGCTATCACAAAGCCCAATATTTCAAGATGACTTACTAAAAAATATGTCTTGAAGCAAACATGATTGTTGTCTTGTGCCATTCCAATGAGTGATGCATATGACTCATAAAGATCATCACAAATATCAAAGCCATTTTCTTCACACTAAAAAATTGAATAAATACAACATCAGATATAGTATTTATCAATCAATCAATCAACAGTAATTGTAAAGGGCTAATATTCACGGCAGTGATCAGTGGCGCTAAGGGCATTACTTAAAGTGCACATAATAAATTTAACTTATGAGGTTGTGAAAGAAAAACTATTTACTCTAAATTTCTGAATCAATCACTTAGTATGAGATTGAAAAAAGGTAAGCTTTTAACCTATTCTTGAAAAGAAAAACAGATAAATGGATGTCAGTGGGAAAGACATTTCATAATAAAGGGGCAGCACATGAAAATGAACGTTTTCAAAAAAATTTTTCAGTTTCCATTTGCTTTGTTCAAGAAGCTGTTTACTAGATGATCTTATTCTTACTACATACTAAAACTAATTAAATAATTGTTGCAACACGAGTCCAATGTATGATCATGATAATAATTATTATTACTGATATTATACTACATAACCCAATCAAAGAAAATCCTGGTGCCACCTCTGGCAGGTGTTATGTTATAAGCCTATAAGCTCTGTGACATACCTAAATATGGGCATGATGACATGACATCATACCATATATAGGCACATCATGACTATATATGGTCATGATGACATCACATCATGACCATATATAGGCACATCATGACTACATATGGACATACAACAGGTTTTGATACTCTCAACAGAGTTTTAATCAGGGTTTTGGAAAAGTCTATTTTGCATTATTAATACTGCTTAATACATTAAGGGCTCGTTCACAATTATCAAAATTTTCACAAGTGTAGAAACAGTACTCTTTTTCGGTACCCCTCAGTCCCCTCTGAATATGTACATAAAAAATTTTGCAAGGCCTTCTCCATTTTGTTTGTGAAGTTTGAAAATGTTGATGATCGTGAATGTATATACTGTCCCAATTTTGAAAGAATAAACATGTGTGGTTTATGAACTTACCTTTTTAAGCATTGCTTTCAAGAAAGACAGTTGATGAGCCAAAGAGGGTGGAAACCGCTGACAGAGGGAGCTTTTCACAGTCTACACGAGAAATCACAGCAGTCACTGATTAATGTATTAGGTTCATTTAGTACCATTTCACCAACATTAACTGTTGGATGGTTTATGTAATAAAATAAAAAAAAGATTGATAAATAAATTACGACTGGTGAAGGGATGAGTAAATGGATAAAGAAAATGGTTGATATGAAAATGGTTGATATGTAAATGAAAAAACAGTGGATAAATAATGGGACTGATGAAAATTGATAGCTAAAAGTGGAATTTAACTAACCATATTCAGAAGATCTGCTTGTTGCTGAGGAGTTCCAAAAAGAAAATGTCTATTTTCGTCCTGGAAATAAACACATTCAGATTGTTACATTTTATTTAAGGTCCCAAATATTGTTTATGTGACTTACAGTACTGGATTATATGCACAAATTATTATATTAGTTAACCCCCTTGCCATCATCATCATCATCATGTTAGAATCCCATGATAGAACAATTATTTAGCTGGGCATGGGCACATATAAAAAATTATTAGATTATCACAATAGAATATTGCTTTATAAATGCTACAAGACTACATAAATAACTTTCCAACTTAGAAATAATAAATTGAATAGTGATGTGCCTGTACAGTGCTTAAACGATGTGTCTATAGTCCGTAAAAGACTGTGACCTCCATTTTGTTTAGGTCCTAGGCCTATTTTTACTGTGCCTAAAACAAACTAGTCCGTCGTGCCTCTTCGCTCGCTTACTCACTGTACAACGCGGATCGCGGGATCCATACAACGCAAAATGTTGGGCTAGGGCCAAGCCCAGCGTATGATGCAAAATTAGGATTTACTGTACTCTGTAATTAATTACTACTACATAATGTAGGCCTACCTCAAATTTAACATTCTTCACGAGCACCATACTAAAAAACTGGGTTTGTACATTGTAATACGGCCTATTTTCGGACACACCAACTTCACTATCAGTTGCCATGCTGTGATACGCCTCAATGATTTTCAAAACACAGCTGAGTAGGAACTTTAATAGGTCCTGGATATTAATATTCATGAGTTAGCTCTCTAGGGCAGTGTTTATCTAGGGGTTGATGGTGTATTTGTAGCAGCAGCGTGATCGCGTTTGTAGCAGCGTTGGTCGCCATGGGTGTATATGCAAGGGGAGTCGGGAATGTCGTACGACCCCCAACATTTTTAAAGGTCCACATTTTTTTCCAAAGACATTTTTTCTAGGGCCTTTTCACAATGACATAAATGAAAAAGCATTGATGAGGTACCAGCAATGAGCCATCCGCTTCTTCAAGCTGGTGGCGCTGTAATCGATTTTCCTGTCTCCCACTAAAAAGGTCCAAAATTATGATCACGTAATTTGGTAATTTGTTTCCGTATTGTCTGGTGTGAATTTTGATCGAATACACACATTGTTTCCAAGTACCGCCGCGTCAGCACCTTACAACCATTTGATCACTTAACCATCAAAGTATTACGCTGTAAACTAATTCATCTATGCTATAATCCAGACTTTTTAGTCGTCACATCCTTCGTGGGATTGTGTGTATCGAGGCATGAATTTTTTTATCTTTTGACGAAGGCGAGATGGAGTTCATTTCCTTAGAAACCTCCATGATGGGAAGAAGGTACGCTGGTGGTGAATTACTACATCAAAGGTCAACACAATGAATAATTCATTTGTACCACAAGATGCCACATAGATCGATTTGGAGTTTGATACCAAGTAAATTTCAATTTTAAAACTTCATCATCAGGGGTGTATGTATTATCTCGATCGGCCCCACTTTCGGCCCTCCTTTTGGACATTTCTGGATTCTCCTCTGATCATCGGATCATCACAATCATCATTATCACCATCATCATCATCATTAATCACCATCATCATTGATTAATTTGCGTAGCGTGACCGGTAATTTGTGGGAGGTTCGTTTCAGTGGAAAGTGGACCCTTTGGCTTGTATGATCTCCGATACTGGAGAACAATGTAAATATATCTACGAATATCAATATATTCGTTTTTAAATGCGGACTTTCTCCAGTTTTTGGGCGGTCCGTCGTAACCCCCCTTAATTCCCCCCCCCCCCCCCCCACGCTACGGGCCTGCCCTAATATTAAGTTTCCTCACGCAAATAGAATCAAAATAGAATTGCAGTACCCGCTGCTACTTTGGGATGGGATTCCACATAAATCAAAGCAAGCTCGCTGGTGTGGTGGTGATCACTCCTGGTAGTATCTGAAGGTCTTGGTTCGAGTCCCTATCTGATCAAGTATTTTAGAACGTATGAGTACACAGTTTGATAAAAAGTCGGTATAGGATAGAGCATGAATCCTATTATTAAATAATTATAATAAAAATCGTAACAATAAAATTATAAATTTTATAATTTTATTGTTACGATTTTTATTATAATTATTATTAGACTTGGCGCATAGTTGTGTAGAAAAATAAACACCGCCTGGAAACGGAGTCTAATCATGAATAATAAGAGTTTCCTACGCACAAGTGAGACCTAGAGCGGATGTGTGCTAGTGACCTGCGTTGGCTTTCTGATTTACTCTAGTAGTAAACAATGGAGGCTCTTGCTAAATACGATTTTCACGCAACAGCCGATGACGAACTATCATTTTCTAAAGGTAGTTTAATTAAGGTATGTTTCGGAAAACGTGTGTAGAGTTTGATATGTAAGACTCTTTACGACTGTTTGACACGGTTTGTGTTTGTGTACAGTAGTGTACGTAGAAATGAATGTCGTTTTAAGTTGATACCACCCTGCTGTGTTACTGAGTCTATACTGTACAGTACTAATATCGTCACAAGTGGGATTTAAATAGTCCTACACAGTTACCCGATTGTTTATGAAATGTGCGATTGCAGAGGTCCCATAATATAATTATTGTAATCGCGAACTATTTAATTTACGAAAATGTGCAAACTGTTTCATCGTTTAGTAATATTTAAGAGGAGGCCCAGTCATTTTGACTATAATAACAACACTGCAAGCCGCACGCAGTGTGTTGACTTATGTTGGGATCTAATCTAAGCACTCACAAGCTGGATCTTATGTTTTTACTTGCACTAAGGCTAAAATTGGAAACCACTACTATTCTATTGCCTGTGATTTATTTATCAAATTAATTTATTGTAGTCAAGATTATGTTTGGTACTTTACATTTCAGCTATGTTTATTGATTAATTACACAGTTTTAATAACCATTACATAATAATAATTATTATTTTGTTATATATTTTTAATAATATCTTACCTAAATTTCTTTTTTCTAGATATTTAAAAAGCAGGATAAGAATTGTAGTCAAGATTATGCTTGATTTTTACATATTCTATGCTAATTTTTAATTACACAGTTTTAATAATCATTACATATTAATTATTATTTTGTTAAATTTATATATGTTTAGTAATATCTTACCTAAATTTCTTTGTCTAGATATTAAAGCAGGATGATAAGAATTGGTACAATGCAGAGTTTGAAGGACAAGAAGGCCTTGTTCCTAGGAACTACATTGAAATGGCACCTCATGAGTGAGTAGGCAAAGGTCACTTAAACCATGGAGGATTTAGTTTACCATGCTTAAACATAGCAGGGGGGGGTCGGCCCCAGCCCCTTTTTGGTGCATAAAAATAAAACAATTTGTTTTTAGAAATAAAAAAGTATTGATCTCCGAAACCACTTTAGAGGATATTTTTTCGAGCGTGGGGCATGCCTGGACCCCCTAGGGCTATGGTCAGCAACTTTTTACTCCTAAGGACCCATAATTTTGTGCTTTAGCTTCCCACGACCCAAGATCTCGAGTTATCATTGAAGTGTTGTCCAAGATACAAAATATACGGCCAATGTAATACAGTGGAACCCCCCTACTTTGGGACACCCCTATTCAGAGGACACCACTAAGTGGAAACCTTTTAGTGAAACGAGGGGAATTATAATTATCTTTAAACACTGTGGCCAACCCCTATTAAGGGGACACCCTATTAATTGGACGGGGACACTTTCTAGGTGTGCCAACTGGTAAAATCTCTACATATTTAAACCCTATTAAGGGGACAATTAATGTTTTCATTGTATCACAAAAAAACTACAGTAGTCTCAAAATAAATAATTTTGACACATTTTGAGCAATAAACTTCACATCAATTGTCTTCCCTGAATCCGGTGATTAAAGGGCCAAAATATTTTTTGCATTTTGAAGATAATATCTGTTTTTTGTTTTGTTGGCTCAGACAGATATGGGTATATAGAATAAAAGGAAATTGGTATTAATTCCAAAAGACCAAATTTTATAAAGATATCCTGTTTTCTTTCCTCTATTTCTTATGTAAACACGGAATTAATCTTTTCAAAACATTTACTACAATGTGTCAAGAGTCAGTTATTTAAATATTATGTAATACCCTTGAGGGAATTGTATCCTGTATAAGGAAGTAAAGAAAAGCCTTTTATACCTGCCAAACATGGAATAAAAATAAAATTTTATTTTTGGCCAGTCGTGCACCCTCTGCCACGAAAAAAATTGAATTTTCATTTTAAAAATTTCATATATTTATTGCACCCTCCACGTCCACTCCCTTGAAATGTCCAGAAATATGATATACCGTATATATTTTTTCTTTAATTTATACTGCATAAATTTAAAGCATTTATCAATCTTATTTACTAATGTACACAGTTTGCAATCAATAAAATGTTATTTTTATTTTCTCCTCCATCTGGATGTTTTTGTCAAAACTATTTGATAAATAAAAAACAAGATTTAATTTTTTCCCACCCTCATCTGACAATCTTTAAAAAAATAATTCACGAAACAAGGTATTAAATAAGGTCTTGCCTAAGCAATATTATGCGATACTCTATAGAAAAATGTGGTCTGTAATAAGGAAGTTATTTAAAGGGAGTGTACCAACTTTCTTTGGCGGGCCAAATTTTTCCATCCAATAAAGGTTAAGACGTACTTACTGAACGTTTCAAGACCTGTCAGGTATCATTCTCAACTGGCGTTTCATTACTTCCGTCTAGCAGAGGAATGTGTAATGGCATTGCACTGCTTTGGAATAGTGCTACCAACATTAGGGCCTATCGGATGTGCCCCCTCCTCCTTAATTCCTTTTCCAGATGTTTACCTTTTTCTAGCCACCAATCGAGCTTCTGTAGTATATATAAATATGTACTGTAATGTGAATATATAAAAATTAACAAATTATTTGCAAAAAATCATTTACACTGAAGTCATTTTAGAATTTTATCTTGAATCCATAAAGTTTGTGACAAAAAATTAAATATTTAACATTGGTATAACAAAGTTATTCTGCATTTTACACAAGTTTTAAAGGGTGCCACCAAGTAGGATTATTTTCCATTTGGTGAAATAAACACAACAAACATCTAAAAAATATTTTAAAACATTGCATACAAATTTGTTTACAATCACTGTTTTTTTGCCACTTCCAGTTGGTTCCATGGAAAAATATCAAGGAAAAAGGCAGAAGACTTATTACTGAACCAGAAAAAAGATGGTGCTTTTCTTATTCGTGAAAGCGAAAGCAATCCAGGAAAGTTTTCATTATCAGTGAAGTGAGTAAAAAAAATCTTTAAAATATGTACAGTGTACCCCTTATTTGGACTTTTTTACTTTTTCTACTTTTTTAAAACTTACACTTTTGAAGAAAAAAAAAGTAAGACAAAAAGAATCAACTGTTGGGAAGACAGGGTTGCGTCATATGCTGTGGCAGATCCAGAAATTCATAATAGAGGGGACACAGGGTGAGCAATTTTCACAGATAAAGGATTCACCCACCTCAGCCCCACCATCGATTAAGGCATCTCTAGATGGCCGCAAATGCCACTCTCAGGTTTAAATGTTAATTAAATTTTCTTTTGTTCTTTATTATTTTTTTTAATTTTGAATAATTTGGGGGTGGGTAGCATAGCTCCCCCTACCAGAATCCACCACTGCTGTGAAATCTTGTTGATTATTATATTTCCGAAGAGTGTACTGCATTCTTTAACATGCACATGGGACATATTGCACACGGTACCAGCAGCTTAAACATTTCATCTGAAATTTGGTACACTATTGAAACTTGCCTTCAGCCCTCTAGCTGAAACACATAGCGAGCAGCAAGGGGAATTGAACCGAGGAACCGGTGGCTACCACCAGTTTAGCCGACTTAGCTAAGCGCTCTCACAAAATGGATTAAATTCCTAATTATCACAGGTATGGTGATGGGGTGCAGCATTTTAAAGTGTTGAGTGATGGGACTGGAAAGTATTTTCTGTGGGTCGTTAAGTTCACGTCGTTGAACAAGCTTGTAGACTACCACCGAACATTATCAGTTAGCAGAACACAGACTATTTGCCTCAAAGATATGAATCGACAGGTAAGATATGATAACAGAATATATATGTATGTATGTATGTACCTATTGTGTAATGGAGTTTATCTGGTGGTATTTGAATCTGTTCAACCATGAAGCCTCCGTGGTCTAATGGTTATGACGCTCGCCTTGACAGCGAGAGGTCACAGGTTCGAGTCCCGCCAGAGACATTTTATTACACAATTTCTTCATTCATTTATTTACAGGACTACATTCGTTGAGAGCTATGCTATACGATTATGTCCGTCCTTTATTCGAACACAGTATTTACCTTTCTTTGATGATTTATAATATATGTATGTATTGGTGAAGGCGATGACAATAAAAACAGGTTGACATATATTTTTGGAACATAATTTATTAAACATGAATATTTCGCCCACTCCTTATCAGCATACAGTAAGTGATGAAGTCCACAGGAGTGGACGAAATACTCGTGTTAAATAAATTATGTTCCAAAAATACGTCAACTTGACCTTCTGTTATTGTCATCACATTCACCACTTTATTTATTATGGATCAACATGCTACTGTACATCATTTCACAATAATACAAAATATTTTATGTTGTACTGTTTAACTCAGCATTTTCACATCATTATTTATGTATATTATTTGAAACCTCAATAACCAATATGATACAAAATATTTTTATTAGTGTCACAAAAAATAGTAGGTTTTTAATCGTTGGCTCTTGGAATGGAGACTTGAACAGTGTAAGCTTCTCAGACACAGCTACAATTAAATTTGTCACTTTAATTTGAATGCCCTTGTGTCAGCCTATTGCATTACTACTGGAGCCAATCCCAATAGCAGATATCCCCTGGGACCAGGAAAGCTTTCACCTTTGACCTTACAGTAACTTTGTGGTTTTTATGACTCGATATTTGTATTGGTATAGTAATGTTGGTACATGTCATTATGGGATTGCAAATCAAGCAACAAGTCTAATGGGAGGAGGCTCATTTGTCAAATGTTTTATACTTCTTTAAGGTTGATTCATTACCACAACATTTAAATATCTCATCTGCAGTATATATGAATAATTCACATAATTATTTTTTTTGTGTGTTTTTCAATGAATGGTAAAAGATTTATTTGGTTATTTGTATTTTTTTTTTCTTATTAAATTTTTTTTTTCATTGGAACTTCAGAAGCCAGCAATGTTTTTTTCAGTACTGACCTTCAATAATAAATAAATAATAAATATATAGATACAACATTCACTTGTAAAGAATATTTACATACAGTATTTGTTTTATGGTTATTTTTTAAAATTTAGTTTATTTAAAACACTGTTGCTATAATTTCCCCTGTCCTTCGGATGAAACATTGAGATGTTGATATTGTGGATAGAGATTATAAATGGCATATCAAATAATATTGCTTTCCTTCTTGGTGTAGACTTTATGCCTTTGAGTTGTTTATATTATAATAAATTTATAACGTGCCAATTCAAAAAGGCGCAAGAAAAAAATTTAATTTGTCATATTTCATTTTTTATTTAAATCTTCTTGATTTTAACAGATGCCAAGAGTGATGGCAAATTTTGACTTTGAGCCGCAAGAAGAGGGAGAGCTGAAGTTCCAAAGTGGGCAAATAATTGAGGTATTGGATGACTCGGATCAGAATTGGTGGCGAGGCCGCCTTAACGGAGAGATCGGGATGTTCCCTGCACCGTTTGTCAGAAAGATCAAAAATTAAAATAAAGAGAAACCTGTAAACAGTTAAAAAATCATAAAAATAGTTGTCAAAGTACAACTCTAACAATAGAGGGCAGTATTTGTGCCTCAGCAGCTGCCTTTACAGACTTGAATTTTTATCAAAGAATGTTTGCACTTATTATCTCTGGTTTTTCATCCTCACAACTGTTTTACATCAGAGAGACTTAAACGTTTTTATTGTCACAAATACATCCACAGAAACAGATGTTAAAAATGTTTCAGCACGACACACACTGCATTGGTATTGGCAGCTGATGCTACCATGTGTCACACGTCATGACTCTCACGGATGGTCATCAGCAACAATCTCTCTCGTATAGCATGCACGAAATCACCAGCCATTGGCCGATGCAGTGTTCTATACTATATTATTGATCTATACGAATTATTTGGTGCTTTAGATGGCCTTAATATTCATTGAGAATCCAATTTTCGAAATGTAAATATAACTCCAAAATATTTTAAGGTTTAGAAATTGTTTTCAGTGTGCAAGAATTTGTTGTCTTTCGTAGCACCGATCAATATACAGTTTATGCTATTATACAGTTTATGAACAACATAAAGTATATTTTTATTTTAGAAAATCTATATTCTTATATTATCTCAAAATTTGTTGTCTTTAAAAAGTTGGTCCAGAAAAGTGAATGTTTTTGGAGTGGATTCAGACCAAGGGATTATTGTTGATAATCTTAGCATTGGTAAATTAATTTTTTATGAAAATTATTTGTACTTTATGTAGATTATTAATTATTAATGAGGTTTAAGATTACAACTTGATAAATCCAATGTTTATGCAAATTTATCTTCCTGTATAGAAAAAACACTCTTACGTTTGAGATTTTGGACTGAAAACCACTTACAGTAATTTAATATTAGGCCTACGTATTCACATTTAAAAAAAAATTAATAATAGGCTTACTTATTCACATTAAAAAATGGGAGTATACAACGGATGACTCATACCCTAGACAAAACTCCAAAGAAGATGTTTTTACTGTATCTTAATTACCCTCTTTAAGTATATTTAAACTGTACGTCTTTTTGCAAAAAAAAAAAAATATTTTTCAGTTGCAATAATAATTATTTGTTTAAAAACATTAGGCCTACATTTGGTAATTACATTTCATTGATCAGTTTATTTCTGAGGCACGTTGACCAAAAAATTTTCTGTCAAAATCCTTAAAGTTATATAGTTGAATATGTATAACAATTAAAAAATGGTTTCAAGGCAATTCCAAACAAGAAAATTGGAAAGAAATTAAGTGAAACAAAAAGAGTATTGTGTTCACTTGTTTATGATATGATTCCTTTTAAGATATCATATCTTTAAAAAAAAAAACCAAATAATATATAAATGTATTATTAAGTATTTTTATTTTAAGCAAAACATTTTTTTAATTTAGTCATGTTATCAATGATTTCAGTTTGTGTCTAAGCCACTGACAATCAATTTATAAAACATTAATAATTGTCTTTAATTTAAATTCAATGCTTGTCCGTCTAAATCAGATTGATATATTTAGTTTTATAGTATTTATGTTAATTTAGGCAATTCAGTTATGTATTTATTTTAAGTATAAAATACCTGTACCACACTGCCAAATTCACTATTTGGAAAAATATATGTATATACACAAGTCAGATTAATCGCTTTCGAATCTAATTTCATTTATTTTAATTTTCCATTTTACTCGCGCTTTTGAAAACTGCATAAACAGTCGCGTCTAGTGGTTAGATGGTTTTTTAAAAAAATCCTACATTAAATTTAAATTTATTAATGAAAAGCATTCAAGAATCGTTATTTTTAACTATAATTTAAACAAATGCCAAAAGAAACTTGTCTAAACTGGTACGTCACTTAGGCGCTCCAACATGGCGTCGGAGGCCTCACTTTTTTCTGTACCAGGATTGTCCGATGAGCAATCCAGCTATTAATAGTAGAGATCAGTGGTCAAGACACGCAAACACGTGTGTTTGTGGCCGGAACAACACATGTGCTTGTTGCACATGCAGGTATTCCTGGTACTGTTAACACTGGCATTTAGGAAAAGTCATTCTTTTATTGAGATGTAAACATTTTACATCCAGATGTACAATACAACTAGGAGATGTAAGGTCTTACATTTTTAATTCAAAATATATATTTTAGTTAACATATCTCAATATTAAGGGCTTTAGTTTTTATTTTTTTTTTTTTTTTACATGGAATCTGGCGAAAATTTGAAACTTCTGAAATATACAATTTATTATAACAGTTATTAAATCAATAAATTTTCACCTTTCCTCTTATCTGTTGGTTTTTGGAGATTTGGGCAAATTAAGAAACATCTGGAATATACAGTAATAAGAAATTGTTTTGATGTCAATAAATGTTGAACACCTTCTTAACTGTTACCAGTTCCTGAGTCTTTTGTAACGTTTTAGAACCATCAATTAAAATTTGCATTAGTCGAATTTAAAATGGCATTGACAAATAGTTCTACATAGATAAAATTCGACTTTCAGATCGTCAATTTATGGAAAACAACTTTGCATATAAAATATGATCGACTTAGAAATTATTCGAGTTAGGCTTAAGCAAGTTTAACTGTAATACTAATATTTACTCAAACCATTAAAATTGGATCACAAGAGTCCTATGTAGGTTTTTTGGTAAAAACAATGAGCTAAAGCTCATACTTTTTTTTGCACGATTTTTTTTACCCCACCATTTTCCAGTTGTTTCGTATTCCATGATACCTACAGATCACAATAGTCCTCTGTAGGTTGATGAATGCCACTTAAATCCTCGTTTTAAGCTTAAATAACGATAAATCGTATGATACTCAATTAGGCACATGTGGCCGAATCTAGGAAAAACGACCAGGTTAAAAATTGGCCAGTTTTGGTAAAAACCATGAGCTATATATATATAGCTTATACTTTTTTTTGGACGATTTTTTTTACCCCGCCATTTTCCAGTTGTTTCGTATTCAATGATACCTACAGATCACAAGAGTTATCTGTAGGTTAATAAATGCAACTTAAATCCTCGTATTGAGCTTAAATAACGATAAATCGGATGATACTAAATTAGGCACATGTGGCCGAATCTATGAAAAACGACCAGGTTAAAAATTGGCCAATTTTGGTAAAAACCATGAGCTATAGCTCATACTTTTTTT